ACCAGAGCGGTAGCGTAGTCAAGGCGGCGGGTAGAAGCGAAGTCAGCGACAGCAGCGACAAGCGTGTCAAGGCGCGAGACAGGAACAGCAGGGTCGGTAACAAGAGAGGCAAGGACCCGAGGGACAAGGGGACGAGCAGCACGGAGGTAGTCAGAGAACGGAGGAGGTGCAACAGCAAGGGACGAGGGAGGAGGGGACGGGAGGAGGGGAGGACGAGACGAGTGGGAACGGAGCAACATAGGGTGGGTGGGCAGGACAGGAGAGACGGGACGAGCACGGGAGGGACGGCGAGCCCAAACGTGAGACGGAGGGGTAGGGTCAGGGGACAGCGGAGGAGACACAGGAGGGGAACGAGGAGGAAGACGGGCCGGAGACGAGTCTGGCGGCGGGAACACAGGACCGTAGACAGGGAGGTCAGGAGGCGGTGGGGGAGACACCGGCGCGCGGTCCGGGGAGGGAAGGCCGAGCAGGCGGAGAGCGGAAACCGGCGGCGACGGCTGCTGCGGCGGCGACGACGGCTGGGCCGGAACTCTCGGACCAGCAGAGGCAGAACGACCGTCGGCAGAACACTCAACAGCAGCACCCCCAGAACCAACACCCCCAGAGCGAGAACCCCCTCCAACACCAGCGGCACCCCCAGAAGCCGCAGGACGAACACCCTCCTCCACACCAGCACCCCCAGGGGCCGAGAGCAGCGGCGGCAGTGGCGGCAACGGCTGCGGCGGCGGCGACAGCGGCGACGGCTGCGGCAGCGACAGCGGCGGCGGCGGCGACGACAGCGGCGACGGCTGCGGCGGCGACGGCGACGGCGGCGGCAGCGGGGTCGGCGACTGCGACAGTGGGGGCGGAGGCACCGGGGAAGGGGGATGCGGCAAGGACGGACCGGGGGTACCACCAGAGTCAGCAGACTCCTCAACGGGGACAACCGACGGGAGGGGAGTGACGTGGGAGACACCAGACGGGGCAGGACGAGGCGGGAGAGGGGCAGGGGCTACCGGGGGAGAGGGAGCAAGGAAAAGGGGGGGGGCAACTGGGAGACCTCGGTGAGGGAAGCGGCGGTAGAAGGACACGGACTCATCAAAGGTGACGTCACGAGAGTGGAGGAAGCGGTGAGACGGCGGGTGGTAGAAAAGCCAGTCAGACGAGTCCAGGGGGAAACCGAGGAAGACACAGGGGACAGTGCGGGCAGTGAGCTTGTCCGTGCCAGAGGCACGAACGTGAGCAAGGCAGCCCCAGACGTGGAACGCAGACGCGTCACCGGGGGACCCGGTCCAAAGGAGGGTCGGCGAAACCTGCGGCCGCTGGGAGCGTGGCCACAGGTTAAGCTGGTGAGCCGCGTAGCGAACAGCGAACGGCCACAGAAAATGGGGGGCATCGGCATGGATCATGGAGGTACGGGCGACCTCCATGACCAAGCCGATGCGGCGCTCAGCAACCCCATTCTGCTGTGGCGAGTCCGGCAACGTGTACGACTGGGTGATGCCCTCCGCACGACAGAACTGTCCAAGCCGACCAGAGGCGAACTCGCCGCCACGGTCGGAGTGGAGACACAACACGGGGAGACCGCGGTGGAGACGCGCAGCCACAACCCACGGGAGAAGAACGTCGGGCACGTCGGCCTTCCGCTCCAGGGGAAACACCGTGGTGTAGCGCGTGTAGTCGTCGACAAGCACAAGGAAGTAGCGCTCACCGCGCGGTCCGGGGACGGGGGCAGGGCCCCAAACGTCCAAGTGCAGGGTCTGAAGGGGGGCAGTAGCAGGACGCAGCGAGGAGGAGTGAGGAGCACGGCGGAGCCGACCCTCGACGCAAGGCGTGCACGGTGGCGCAGTCGAGGGAGGAAGGGCAGGGAGCGACGCGGGGAGACCTAAGACAAGACCGTGCTGGGACATGTGACGCAGACGCGGGAGAGCAGGGTGACCTAAGCGGTGGTGCCAGAGAAGGGAGGGGTGAGTGAGGGACCGACACGAGCAAGCTGCAGCGACCTGGGAGGACGCACCAACCGGGGGGGAAGCGGTGTCTAGGGTAAACAGACCGGACACCGGGTCCCGGGGGAACGTCGCAAGGGGGGAACTTGAGACAGCCTCAGAACAGACAGCGAACCGCTCGTGCCCGGGGAACGTGGTGGTGACGCCGAGGTCCTGGAGACAGCCGACACCAACCAGGTTCCTGGAGAACGAGGGAACGTGGAGGCCAGTAAGGGAGCCCGAGGGAACTGCCGGACAGGGAAGGGACGTAGAACTGCGCGCGACGACCGGACCCGCAGAGGGGTCAGCGAGAGAGACAACAGCAGGTGCAGCAAGCGGCGTGAGCGTGGAACGGTCGCGGAAGAAGCAGGCAGAAGCACCAGAGTCGAGAGTGAAGGACAGCGATGCAGTGGCGGGGGCCGGGGACGGAGCCGGTGCAGCGACTAGACTAGGCAACCTAGGCAGTCCTACGCCTGTCGCAGCAGGGGAAGCTAAGCTACACAAGGGTGAAACACCTAAACTAGAGTACACAGGGTAGTAAGATCCATCAACACTAGAAGCGTCAGCATACAAAGCATGCAAAGCAGCACCTATCTGATCCATGTCTAACTCAAAGATCGGCACGCCCTGGCGGAGCAGGCTGTGCCAGTCAGGGAGGTCCGGGGCCGGGCCAAAGCGACGACGAAAAAGATCGTCGAGGCGGCGGAAACAGCGGGCGGTCGGGTGCGGGCGGCGGCACAGAGTGCCGCGGAGAGGCCCGGTCTGAAGCTGGTACTGGCAGGTCACAGCACTGGAGCCGCTGGTAGACGCCAAGCTGCGCGGGCCGCCACCACGGCCACCGCCTCCGGAGGTGCCGGGCCAACCAGGCGGGAGACGAGCCCACGGCTGCGGCGGGTGCTGCTGGGACGGCGGCTGCGGCTGGGGCTGGTCCTGCTGCTGCTGGGACTGCTGCTCCTGCCCACCGGTGGTAGTCCCCTCAGGCGGACTACCGTCACCACCACCACGACCACTACCACCTGCGTCACCACCCCTACCTCCCTGGCGGCCACGGCCACCGCGACGCGAGCGCTGCTGCGGGTGGACAGCAGCAGCCGTCTCGGTAAGAGGGGTCGCCGTGGCGACCGCAGCCGAAACGTCAGTGAACGTGCACGGGGATGGGGCACAGCCGTGAAAGATAGAGACTGGCGGCGCACTGCTCGACTGAGCGATAGTGCGCTGGCGAGTCTCGATCTCAGTGAGGGTGTCGACAAAGGCGGTCAGGGTGAGGTCACCCGGGTGCTGGCTAAGAAAGTGGTCGCGAGCACTAGCGAGGCGGTCTGGCAGGCGCATAGCGATAAAATAGAGCGTCATGCAGAAAGGAGGGGGGAGCGCAGTGAGCTGGGCAGCAGTGCTGGCAGTGCGATAGCGAGTCTCTAGGGCACGCAAATGAGTGGCAAAATCTGCGACAGTAGGGAAGGCAGCCAGGTCTGGGAACAGCATCGGAAAGAGCAAGCGGCCAGCAGAAGCGGAGGCAGGGGTGGAATAGCGAGCAATAACGGCGTCTAAATAAGCTTTGGCCGTTTCAACAGTAGCAAAACGCGAGCGCTCAGACACAGGGAGGGCGTGACTAATAGCAACCTGAGCTACTGCATCGCGTGAGTCCCAGATCGCACAGGCCAGCGCAGCAGTAGAGAAAGCCTCACGGTCATCAGAGGAGGGGTCAGCAGGGAGGGGAGTAGGTGCAGGGGGACGGGGGAGCAAGCCATCAGCATGGACAACCAGAGAGTGGCCATCCTGGCGCTGACCTGTAAGCTGGCGGCGAAGATCGGAGAGCCAGGCGGCGAAGTCAACCGCGTGGCCCTCAGCGTCCAGGCGGAGCACAAAGTCAGCCATCGTGCAGGGTCAGCGGCACAGCTCCTCAGCGACACAGCGGCACAGCAGCACAGCTCCTCAGCGGCACAGGAGCACAGCGGCGCGGGGACACGGCGGCAGCACTCTCCAGTAGGGCAGCAGCTAGGCGTCCCAGCGCAGGCAAGCAGAAGACACAGGGCCCGAGAGGACACGGCAGGCCGAGCAGGGGAGGCGGGCAGGTGCTCTGGGGCCGGGCTGGTGCTGGGAGGGGCCAGGCTGGTGCTGCTGGGGCCGGTCGGGCACGAGGAGGGGCCGGGCAGCGCTGAGGAGAGGCCGGGCGGCGCTAGGAAGGGGCCGGGCGGCACTAGGAGGAGGCCGGGCGGCACTAGGAGGAGGCCGAGCGGCACTAGGAGGAGGCCAGGCGGGCGAGCGCTAACAGCAGGCGCGACAGGGGCCAGCGGGCGCGACGGGGCCTAAGGGGCGCGACGGGGCCCAGCGGGCACGACGGGGCCCAGGGGGGGCGCGACGGGGCCGAGGAGGCGCGACGGGGACCAGCGGGCACGACGGGGCCCAGGGGGGCCGCGACGGGGCCTAACGGGCGCGACGGGGCCCAGGGGGGGCGCGACGGGGCCTAGCAGGCGCGACGGGGCCTAGGAAGCGCGAAGGGGCCCAGCGGGCGCGACGGGGCCTAGGAGGGGCGCGACGGGGCCGAACGGGCGCGACGGGGCCCAGGGGGGGGGACGCGACGGGGCTTAGGAGGCGCGACGATGCCTAGGAGGCACGACGGGGCTCAGCGGGCTCGACGGGGCCCATGGGGGGCGCGACGGGGCCTAGGAGGCGCAACGGGGCCCAGCGGGGGCGCGTTAGGGCCTAGGGGTCGCGACGGGACCCAGCGGGCGCGACGGGGCCTAGGGGGAGCGCGACGGGGCCTAGGAGGCGCGACGGGGCCCAGCGGGCACGACGGGGCCCAGGGGGGGCGCGACGGGGCCTAACGAGCGCGACGGGGCCCAGGGGGGGGCGCGACGGGGCCTAGGGGGCGCGACGGGGCCTAGGAGGCGCGACGGGCGGAAGCGGTAGGCGGGGGGATCCTAACCTAAGCGTGATACCATGTTAACGTAGAAATGAATGATTACTAGAGGTGGAAACCTAGAACAAATACTAGTTGGTTGTACTCACTAGAAGCATACCTCAGTCTAGCCTATAACTTCTACATAGATAATATGTATAAGTTGACAGAAGTACCTATTCGGTAATGTACCTGTTCGAGCTATTTGCGCTATGCACTCTAACCCCTACTGAAAAGAGCGCGACTGTTCGCGTGACTGAAAAGGCTTGCTGACGTTATCATCCAGACGAGCGCTATTTGCTGACGTCATTCTACGGATGCTAACTACAGTGTAATTCGACAATATCTATCAGAACTACTTACAGAAATGCTTAAGTACGATTTTATCACAACCACCACAAGGCCTGGCTCTTAGACCTGAGTTTTGTGGAGTTGCGCGGATCTAGAGTGTTTTACCGTACGATACATGCATCCAACTGGCACAAGAATGGTGAGGCGGTTGGAAGCGTGATCGGCCACAGTGAGCAGCAGCTTGACTCGCACCCAGAGGGCCTGCGAATGTGAGTGCTGGGCCGAGGCATGGACAGGCACCCCCACCGTCACCTGCCAGCCACCCATGCGCACACGCTCAGCATGCACTTGCACAAACACCAAACAGCCATGCACAGACACTCACACGCACGCAGGCATACATGCACACGCACACAGTCACAGCCACACACACTCACTCACACATGCACACACAACACACAGACACCGACACACTTATCCACACATTAGAGCAGGTATTCATACACCTATGTGTGACTTGAGCGAACATGGTATGCCAACCACAAACGTCGAGACACGCAGCTGACACATGCTACCGTGGTCAACCCTGTCCCCTGGTCAAACCTGGCCCATGGTCAACCCTGTCCCATGGTCAACCCTGGCCCATGGTCAACCCTGTATCCTGGTCAACCCTGGCCCATGGTCAACCCTGTATCCTGGTCAACCCTGTCCCATGGTCAACCCTGGCACATGGTCAGCCCTGTCTCCTGGTCAACCCTGTCCCCTGGTCAACCCTGTCCCCTGATCAACCCTGTCCCCTGGTCAACCCTGTCCCCTGGTCAACCCTGCCCCCTGGCCAACCCTGTCCCCTGGTCAACCCTGTCTCCTGGTCAACCCTGTCCCCTGGTCAACCCTGTCCCCTGGTCAACCCTGTCTCCTGGTCAACCCTGTCCCCTGGTCAACCCTGTCCCCTGGTCAACCCTGTCCCCTGGTCAACCCTGTCCCCTGGTCAACCCTGTCCCCTGGTCAACCCTGTCCCCTGGTCAACCCTGTCCTCTGGTCAACCCTGTCTCCTGGTCAACCCTGTCCCCTGGTCAACCCTATCTCCTGGTCAACCCTGTCCCCTGGTCAACCCTGTCCCCTGGTCAACCCTGTCCCCTGGTCAACCCTGTCCCCTGGCCAACCCTGTCCCCCTGGTCAACCCTGTCCCCTGGTCAACCCTGTCCCCTGGTCAACCCTGTCCCCTGGTCAACCCTGTCCCCTGGTCAACCCTGTCCCCTGGTCAACCCTGTCCTCTGGTCAACCCTGTCTCCTGGTCAACCCTGTCTCCTGGTCAACCCTGTCCCCGGCCTCACCTCAGCGGTGCCATGGCTTGCATCCAGCAGCACTTGAATGACGTCAGCAGCACCGTCACCACCACTCGTGTCCTCTGCAAGTGCCATGCTGCCTCTTGTCCCCCCTGCAGCAGCAGAGCCAGCAGCGCTGCCCACTCCGCTGTTCCCATGCATGTCTCTGCAGCCCCGCTTGCCACCGCCCTGCCACCCCCGCCTCTCGCCCTCTGCCTGCTGCTGCTGCGCTGCGCCAAAGCTGAAGGCATTCATCCACGTGTCGGCGCTCAACTGGTCTACCCACTCCTGGCCCCAGCTAACCTGTCACTTAAGAGGAGGACCATGGACAGCGGCGAAGGAATGGGCACGGGATGCAGGAAGGGAAATCGGGATGCAGGAAGGGAATTGGGGATGCAGGGAGGGAATTGGGGATGCAGGGAGGGAATTGGGGATGCAGGGAGGGAATTGGGGATGCAGGGAGGGAATTGGGGATGCAGGGAGGTATGAGGGAGAGAGAGGGCAGATGGGTGAGGTGGGGAGCGGGTTGGCGGGTGCGGTTGCAGGGATGAAAGACGAAATTGCCAAGGGCCATCCATCTGCACGGCACGCAGATAATGCTTCGCTGGGATGGGCGGCATTCGCTGGCCCTCCGATTCGTGCAGAGCCCCTCACCCTTTCGTGCAGGAAGAGCCCCCCCATGCTCGTCAGGTGCACCGCGCTGCCCCGCACTCGCACGCGCACGCCCTCCCTCGCCACGCGCACTGGGCCGGGGGAGGAGGCGGATGTGGCGGTGGCGGGGGCAGACGAGGATGGGGACGGGGGTGAGGCACATGCAGCGAGATGAGGCTGCGACCTGGCAGGGGGAGGGGGGGGCCACGAGAGAGGGCAGAGGAGGGGGTGGGAGGAGGGGGAGGGATGGAGGCAGTGAGAGGCAGACGCCAGTGCGATTGCAGGCGCAGTGGACCGGGCGGTGGGAGGGCGGGCAGGCAGAACGTCACTGGAAGGGGGCAGGCAGAACGTGGCACAGCGGGTGCGATGGAAGGGTGGTTGTGAGAGCGAGACGATCATGGCTGGGAGGATGAACGGGGATGGTGAATGGTGGTGAAGAGGGCAGGCGTGCATGGCGCATGATTGCACGGCAGCGAAAGCAGATGAAGACCCAAGGGGGTGGAGGAATGAAGGAAGACTTGGGGGGGGTAAGGGGGAAAGGTAGGAGGGCAGAGAGAGGCAAGGGAGGAAACATGAGATGCGGGGGTGGCAGGGGAGGGGGAGGGCGTGAATCTTCAGAAGAGGGAGGGGGTGGGTGGGGGGAGGAGCAGCAGGGAATGAATGAAGGGCTGGTAAGGCGGCTGGGCGAGGGAGCGCGCGTGGCGGGCACACAGCCGCACCTGGTGCAATGGTGGCCTCGCTCACATGCCACCGCACCGCCTCGCTGCTGCTGTCGCCTCCTCCCCCCTCCTCTCCCTCCACTCCCCCTTCTCCCTCCACTCTTCCCTCTCCCTCGTCTCCCCCTCTCTCCCCAGAACCCTCAACCCCTGCTAGTCTGGCACCAGCCGCACTTGCCATGCCACGATCCAATGAAACGCCGCCACCTGTTCTCCTTCCACATGGTGCGTCAGTGCCACGTGGGATCCTGAACAGCCCCAGACTGCCCTCATGCGCGCCTCGCCCCATCGTCGCCGCTCATGCACCAGCACCACACCCCCGTGGCGCCGCAGCTGCTGACTGTGCTCTCGCGTCAGGCAGGGCCACAGAGGCAAGTGACCCGCCAGCGATCCACGGCGGGGATGGGGCCCAGCGAATTTCCCGCCCCGCCCATCTCGCGCCTTCCGCGCTTGCCGCCTCTCCACCCCCCGCCGGGACCGACTCCACTGGAACACCGCGGGCCACCCGATCGGCCGGCCCTCGCCGCCCCCCCGCGTCCAGAAGCGCGCGCGCCTCCCACTCGCGCCACGCTCGCCGCCCGTCGCCGCTGCACCACTGCGCTGCTCGCTGCGCCGCCCGCCGCGCCGAGGCGACCCCGGGGCCAACCATGCGCTCAAGTGAGCGGGACGAGCGCGATTAGCGACACGATCCGGCGGCGCGAATGGCGCGCTGGTAGCTCGCCGCGGACGGCCGCCGTGGGTGCGGGAGCGCGCAGGGCGTCGATCTGCCCGCCTCAAGGGGTGGCGAGGGCACTCGGCGTGACCTCGGTCGTTAGGGACGTGCAACGCGGAGGAGCGGCGGAGCACATCGTGGTCGCTGAAGGGATGCGCGCGCGCTGGCGGGGAGAGCGCAGCTGGGGGAGCGAGATCGCCCCCTGCCCGAGTTCGTGGCAGCAGCGGGGAGCCGTGGCTGCTAGGTCTGGTGGTGCAACGCAGCCTGCTAGAACGCAAGGGGGGCTCCCTCCCTCCATTGTAGCAATCCACAACATGTACACCTTCACTTGCGTATGTCAAAAAATGTTTGGGAAACTGAAAGCCAAGGCCTCAAATTACAAGCCGCGAAATACAGATTTGGAGACCACGGCTCGGGTTGGGGCGTTTGGGCCGTGATTGGCTGCGAGGACTGCGAATGTTTGGGGCTTTGGGAATTGGAAAAGCGAATCCCGCCAACAAAACAATTGGTTTCGCAAATGTAAAACTACCCCCACTCACGCCCCCAGCGACAGTAGTCTCCCCAACCCAAGTCAAACGAGGGCCCAGCCCAATCAGGAAACAAATAACGCCGCGTCACAAACAAAAACACGCAGCCATGCAGACACAAAACTCACCAGAGAGAAATGCACTAAAATAACAGACGCGTAAAGCACGGGGAAAAGTAAAGGGGGGGAGAACGCAACGTGTGTCGAAGGCGGGCGGAGCAGCAAGGGGGATGCGCATGGCGCAAACACTCACAAAAACCGAAGTGATCGTTCCCGGGCAGGAGAGAGCGCCATGATCACGCCCCTCTAGAATGATCGCGTCACAACGCACTCTCGCGTGAGATGCTGGACTCCCGGGCCCAATAGAAAAAACGCAGAAGTTTCAGGCAAGGCAAGAGCAAAACGAGCTGAATAAAGTAGATGCATCACTCTTTGAGATTAGTAGTAGGTGCATGATACTAGATGTCGCGGTCAAAGCAGGCGCGTTGGTTCCCAAAACAACTGAAGCCGCGACTACACTCGGGCAACCATTGTCAACGTATACATTTTAGCTATGTAGAAGTTATAGGCTGGACTGGGGTATGCTACTAGTGAGTACAACCAACTAGTATTTGTTCTAGGTTTCTCCTTCTAATAGATCATTCAGTTCTTACTTTAATATGGTATCACGCGTAGGTTAGAATCCCCCACCTACTGCTTCCGTCCGTACCCAAGCTAGGCCACGCGCCGCCCCCCCGGGCCCCGTCGCGCCTCCTAGCCCTGTCGCGCCCCCCCTGGGCCCCGTCGCGCCCCTCCTAGGCCCCGTCGTGCCTCCTAGCCCCGTCGCACCCCTCCTGGGCCCCGTCGCGCCCCCCCTGGGCCCCGTCGCGCCTCCTAGCCCCGTCGCGCCCCTCCTGGGCCCCGTCGTGCCTCCTAACCTCGTCGCGCCCCTCCTGAGCCCCATCGCGCCTCCTAGCCCCGTCGCGCCTCCTAGCCCAGTCGCGCCCCTCATGGGCCCCGTCGTGCCTCCTAGCCCCGTCGCGCCCCTCCTGGGCCCCGTCGTGCCGCCTAGGCCCCGCCGCGCCCACTACGGCCCCGTCGCGCCCTGCCTGGCCCCGTCGCGTCCGCCAGGCCCCGTCGCGCCCTGCCAGGCCCCGTCGCGGCCTGCCTGGCCTCGTCGCGCCTGCCTGGCCCCTCCGCGCCTGCTTGGCCCTGCCGCGCCTGCCTGGCCTCGCCGCGCCTGCTTGGCCCCGCCGCGCCTGCCTGGCCCTGCCGTGCCTGCCTGGCCCCGCCGCGCTTGCCTGGCCCCTCCGCGCCTGCCTGGCCCCGCCGCGCCTGCCTGGCCCCGCCGCGCCTGCCTGGCCCCTCCGCGCCTGCCTCGCCCCGCCACGTCTGCCTGGCCTTTCCCACTACCCGCCCGGCCCCTCTTCGTGCCTGCTCGGCCTGCCGTGCAACCTCGGGCTCCGTCTACCCTGCTCGCCAGCGCTGGGGCGCCTCGCGGCCGCCGTGCTGGAGAGTGCTGCCGCCGTGTCCCTGCGTCGCTGTGTTCCTGCGGAGCTGTGCCGTTGACCCTGCACGATGGCTGACTTCGTGCTCCGACTGGACGCCGAGGGCCATGCGGTTGACTTCGCCGCCTGGCTCTCCCATCTCCACCGCCACCTTACAGGTTAGCACCAGGATGGCCACTCTTTGGTTGTCCATGTCGATGGCTTGCTCCCCCGCCCCCCCGCACCTGCTCCCCTCCCTGCTGACCCCTCCTCTGATGCCCGTGAGACCTTCTCTACTGCTGCGCTTGCCTGTGCGGTCTGGGACTCCCGCGATGCGGTCGCTCAGGTTGCTATTAGCCATGCCCTCCCTGTGTCTGAGCGCTCGCGTTTTGCTACTGTTGAGACGGCCAAAGCTTACTTAGACGCCGTTATTGCTCGCTATTCCACACCCGCGTCTGCTTTTGCTGGCCGCTTGCTCTTCCCGATGCTGTTCCCAGACCTTGCAGCCTTCCCTACCGTCGCAGACTTTGCCACTCACCTGCGTGCCCTAGAGACCCGCTATCGCACTGCCAGCACTGCTGCCCAGCTCACTGCGCTCCCCCCCCCTTTCTGCATGACGCTCTATTTTATCGCCATGCGCCTGCCAGACCGCCTCGCTAGTGCTCGCAATCACTTCCTTAGCCAGCACCCGGGTGACCTCACCCTCACCGCCTTTGTCGACACCCTCACCGAGATCGAGACTCGCCAGCGCACTATCGCTTAGTCGAGCGGTGCGCCGGCAGTCTCTATCTTTCACGGCTGTGCCCCCTCCTTGTGTACGTTCACTGACGTTTCGGCTGCGGTCGCCACGGCGACCCCTCTCACCGAGACGGCTGCTGCGGTCCACCCGCAGCAGCGCTCGCGCCACGGTGGCCGTGGTCGCCAGGGAGGTAGGGGTGGTGGCGCAGGTGGTGGTGGTGGTGGTGGTCGTGACGGTAGTCCGCCTGAGGGGACTACCACCGGTGGGCAGGAGCAGCAGCCCCAGCCGCAGCAGGAGCAGCCCCAGCAGCAGCCGCCGCCCCAGCAGCAGCCGCCGTCCCAGCAGCAGACGCCGCAGCCGTGGGCCCGTCTCCCGCCTGGTTGGCACGGCACCTCCGGAGGTAGTGGCCGTGGTGGCGGCCCGCGTAGCTTGGTGTCTACCGGCGGCTCCGGTGCTGTCACTTGCCAGTACCAGCTTCAGACCGGGCCTCTTCGAGGCACTCTGTGCCGCCGCCCGCACCCGACCGCCCGCTGTTTCCGCCGCCTCGACGATCTCTTTTGTCGTCGCTTTGGCCCGGCCCCGGACCTCCCCGATTGGCACAGCCTGCTCCGCCAGGGCGTGCTGATCTTTGAGTTAGACATGGATCAGATAGGTGCTGCTTTGCATGCCTTGTATTCTGACGCTTCTAGTTTTGCTGGATCTTATTACCCTGTGTACTCTAGTTTAGGTGTTGCACCGTTGTGTAGCTTAGCCTCCCCTGCTGCGTCAGGCGTAGGACTGCCTAGTTTGCCTAGCCTAGTCTCTGCACCGGCTCCGTTCTCGGCCTCCGCCACTGCTTCGCTGTCCTTCACTCTCGACTCCGGTGCTTCTACCTGCTTCTTCCGCGACCGTTCCGCGCTCACGCCGCTTGCTACGCCTGCTGTTGTCTCTCTCGCTGACCCCTCTGCGGGTCCTGTCGTTGCTCGCAGTTCTACGTCCCTTCCCTGTCCAGCAGTTCCCTCGGGCTCCCTTACTGGCCTCCACGTTCCCTCGTTCTCGAGGAACCTGGTTGGTGTCGGCTGTCTCCAGGACCTCGGCGTCACCACCACATTCCCCGGGCACGAGCGGTTCGCTGTCTGTTCTGAGGCTGTCTCAGGTTCCCCCCTTGCGACGTTCCCTAGGGACCCGGTGTCCGGTCTGTTTACCCTCGACACCGCTTCCCCTCCGGTTGGTGCGTCCTCCCAGGTCGCTGCAGCTTGCTCGTGTCGGTCCCTCACTCACTCGTCCCTTCTCTGGCACCACCGCCTAGGTCACCCTGCTCTCCCGCGTCTGCGTCACATGTCCCAGCACGGTCTTGTCTTAGGTCTCCCCGCGTCGCTCCCTGACCTTCCTCCCTCGACTGCGCCACCGTGCACGCCTTGCGTCGAGGGCCGGCTCCGCCGTGCTCCTCACTCCTCCTCGCTGTGCCCTGCTACTGCCCCCCTTCAGACCCTGCACCTGGACGTTTGGGGCCCTGCCCCCGTCCCCGGACCGCGAGGTGAGCGCTACTTCCTTGTGCTCGTCAACAACTACAAGCGCTACACCACGGTGTTTCCCCTAGAGCGGAAGGCCGACGTGCCCGACGTTCTTCTCCCGTGGGTTGTGGCTGCACGTCTTCACCGCGGTCTCCCCGTGTTGTGTCTCCACTCTGACCGTGGCGGCGAGTTCGCCTCTGGTCGGCTTGGACAGTTCTGTCGTGCGGAGGGCATCACCCAGTCGTACACCTTGCCGGACTCACCACAACAGAATGGGGTTGCTGAGCGCCGTATCGGCTTGGTCATGGAGGTCACCCGTACCTCCATGATTCATGCCGATGCCCCCCATTTTCTGTGGCCGTTCGCTGTTCGCTACGCTGCTCACCAGCTTAACTTGTGGCCACGCTCCCTGCGGCCGCAGGTTTCGCCGACCCTCCTTTGGACCGGGTCCCCCGGTGACGCGTCTGCGTTCCACGTCTGGGGCTGCCTTGCTCATGTTCGTGCCTCTGGCACGGACAAGCTCACTGCCCACACTGTCCCCTGTGTCTTCCTCGGTTTCCCCCTGGACTCGTCTGACTGGCTTTTCTACCACCCGCCGTCTCACCGCTTCCTCCACTCTCGTGACGTCACCTTTGACGAGTCTGTCTCCTTCTACCGCCGCTTCCCTCTCCGAGGTCTCCCGGTTGCCCCGCCCCTGTTCCTTGCTCTCTCTCCCCCGGTAGCCCCTGCTCCTCTCCTGCCTTGCCCTGCCCCGTCTGGTGTCTCTCACATCACTCCCCTCCCGTCGGTTGTCCCTGTTGAGGAGTCCGCTGACTCTGGTGGTACCCCCGGCCCGTCCTTGCCGCGTCCCCCTTCCCCGGTGTCTTTGCCTTCACTGTCACAATCGCCGCCTCCGCCGCAGCCGCCGCCGCCGCCGCCGCCGCCGTTGGCGCCGACGCCGCTCTTGGCCCCTGGGGGTGCTGGTGTGGAGGAGGGTGTTAGTCCTGCGGCTCCTGGGGCTGCCGCTGGTGTTGAAGGGGGTTCTCGCTCTGGGGGTGTTG